GTAGTACTTCCTGTTTATCAATTGTTTTCAGCTGCTCATGAGGTCGGTCAGGGGTCAATGGACGCATCCTTTTTTCAGACTCTGTTTAGTTTGTGAAATGAAATAAACCGTAATCCTCTAAATGCTCAGGGTAACATGTGCACTGAATTAGATGTTCCCCGTGACAATGTTTAATCATTTTTCACGAAATGCCTCTGACCACAAATCGTTCATAATGCAAAACCTGACAATGTTGTCGGAGGAAGGGGGGGTGCAGGGTGCATCTCCTGCAGGTAAGAGGCGTTTCACTTCGGGACGAATTGAGGTCGCCGATTGGTCAGTTGCTGATGATTGACTGGGTTGATTGACAGGTGGCGTTGAGGATCTGACTTGTGCAAAAATAAATAAATTAATGAAATTATAGATTTTACTGACCCATTTAAGAGTGTCATCATTTATTCCATATTTATTCCAAATTTATTCAATATTTTTGGTGAATTTAAAGTTTGATAACTGGGTTTCCTTACAAAATTGTAATGATGGTTTCTTAAATTTTCAGAGGTGCTGAGTTAAAAATTAGGGGTGCTTGAACACCCCCCCCTCCCCCCAAATTGAGGCTAAAATCACTGCTCATTCAGCTATTGAGCTTAAAATTGGTGTGTAAAAAGTTAAGGATCATCCCCAACACAATTTTATGTGCAAGATTCTTGTTTCAAACTTTGCCGTGCAAGGTGATGGATGGTACGCACCGCATTCAGAGATGCTGCTTTTGTGTTTATCCAGCAGTAACAGCTTTTATACAGATACGTTTATCTCTTTATTCAGATCTATCGTCTGAACAAGCGCCTGGTAACTCTGAGCTGGCAGTTTCTCATCATGCCTTTTCTCTCAAAAATCTCATATTTAAACATCACAGACGCACGAATGCACCAACATTTAACAAAAGCAAAACACGCACAGCTCTGCCTCTTTTTCTTATTCTCCATTAGTTGTTGTATGTTTCTCATTTTCTTCCTCCTGGTTTTCCTCTACTGTGATCTCTGACCCCGTCTACTGCTTCCCCCCCCCGACTGCCTCAAGCAAGACTTTACGTTACAGCCATTCATTTCCAAAAAGAATCTCGTTCACGTTCATCCGTTTAAAAACAGCCCTTTTCAGTTAAAAAGCCGAAAGAGACATATGATGTAAACAGATAAAAACTCCATCAAGTACAGCAAAGTCTTCCGTTAATATATATACTTCAAGTCGTCTAATCCCTTTAATGCCACATTTGTGTTCAGAGGAGACAAGCAGATGCTGCAGCCAGATGTTGTGGCTGCTTGGCAACAATGGTCATTACCTGTCAGATTCTGCTTCGAAAGAATAGGCGTGAACCTCATACCCACAGAAAGTTGCACATCTTCATTAGAACAAAACAAACTTCTCAGAGCACACGTTTCCATATTGCCATTTTAGTTTTATTGACAAAAATACAAAACTAAATCGAGTTTAAAACCGTGCTCGACCCGTCTCGACTTGCAGCCACTTGGACTGCACGAACGTGCTGTTTCCGTGAGAACCTTATCTGGCCAATTGTTTCTACAGCCTGGAAGTAGACCCCTCCAAAAACAGTGGATTTCTGTCGGAGAAAGGCCTCCTTTGTGCTCGGCTAATGCGAGGGAAATACAGTTGCTTAGCAGACATTCTTGTTGAAATCATATGACATCCCTTGCTGTCTTTGCCATCAGGCTGTAGCTGCTTTGTGTCTGAGTCCAAAAGGTGAGGAACACTTTTTGTCCTCCACAATAAGGAGATGCATTTTCTTCGCAAACGAAAGATAAGTAGCTTTTTTTTTAATCATGTGGTGAGAGCATTGTTTGATGTTGACGTACAAAAAAAAAGAACAGCTGTTGCATAAAAGTGTTGGAATTAGCGTACTGATTGTTTCAGTCTTAGCCCTTTTATGAGGATTTCTCTTGGATGCAGTTAACCCTCTCGGTGCTGTATTCAGCCTCTGCCCTCTCTGTGGATCAGCTCGCTGACAGTTTATACAACCCCCCCACCCACAAAAAAACCTTCCTGAAAAAACAGCAAAACCTCATTTGCTTTGTGTTTTTCTAAGATCAATAGCAGCTTGACCCGAAAGGGGCTTGGTAAAGGGATTCTCCTCTCACTCCTAATAAGACACAGGACATGTAGCAGAGCAGACACACACCAGCTCCTTTTTGTTTTCTTTATGATCACAATATCGCAAGCCCAATACCTGCGGATAGTCAGACCGGGGTCAAAAAGACACATTTTGGTTAAATTAGCACTAACATTCAAAGGCTAGTCAAATACTTCAGACAGTTGAGGTGCAAGTTAAGACCTTTTGTCAATTTGTAATTTGGGAAATTGCTACATTGTCTTCCCTTGGGAGTTGATTGCACAGCGAGAGCTTTAGTTTAGGTTGTTTACGCTGCACATTAGCCAGTCAACAATCAATCTCTGAATGTCTTGGAGAAAACCAAAAAATACAGATAAAAGCTTTTGTCGTCAGTTTGTTGTTCATTCAACACTTCTGTCTTTTTACTTCTGACAGAACCGCCACCACAAGCACAATAGGAAAAGTGCGCTTGCAGAAAAACACCCTGCGTGTGTGTTTGTGCAGACCTAACTGTGTGTCAGGCTGAGCCCCTCACTCGCTTTACAGCTGTAAGAATATCAGACATCACCAGAAGAGACGCTGCGGTCGCCGTGATTGACGCGAGAGGCCTCACCAGCAGCCGTTCGAGGCACATTCTAACAGGGATCTCATATCGCCAGGGGTTGGCCAGAGTGCTCCTGGTACCTTCCAAGGAAAATAAGCAGCGTGACATCAGGGCTTTGTTTCAGCAGTGAGGCCCTTCTGTTTGTGTTTAATATCGCTCTGAGAAAAGTGGAAAGAGAGCCAGCCAATTTCTCTGGCATCGACTGCTGAGCTTGGCGCTTTGACGGTGAAGTGACGGTGGTCTCCCAATCGTTGGCTCCCCGTCTTTCTCCGTGGGTTTCTTTACCGTTGGATCTCTGGTCCCAGGAGGTCTTGGAGTTTTGACTACAGGGCAATCAGATCTCACAACACTCAGAACCATTTCAGGTCACAGGGCCACACAGTCAAAACACAGAGAAAGAAAGCGTGATGGAGATCAAGGATGTGAAACAAAAAAATACAATTAAAAATAACTTGTGGAACAAAACTAAAAGACAGAAGAGGAGTGAGTGTCAGAGGGGGGTCAGACGAGAGCAGGATGAGTTTGCGATAGATATTTAGAGGGAAGGGGGACTATAAATGAGGTGAGAAGAAGAGAATCTGCAGCAGGCCAACCACGTTGGGGTGATTTTTTTGAGAACAGGGTCTTTGATAGCCCTCAGACTCCAATGCTTTCAGACAGGGGTTGACAGTGGTTTCAGGCGGTGGTTGGTCTGGCCAGCCAGCTTTGATTTAGAAGACCCCAAACTGTGGGCCGAGCGTTCGACTCTTTGATTTTTAAGTACTCTGGATGAAAAACCAGTTCCATTATTTTGGGGTCAATTTGGTGCTTGTTTCCAAACCGAAAGCTTGTGCTTTCCAAGTCTTTTCTCTTAATTTTCTATTATTTATGTTCTAATTTCAAGTTTGTTTATGTTAAATTACAGGCCTAGTCATCAAAATATGACCATACCATAAATTATGGTTAGTTTTTCTTCTGATTTAATGTTAGTGAAGAAACGTAACTGTCTTTTTCTAACTAATCATTTGTGACCAGATTGTTCTTCACTATTTTAAAACTCGTACCGCACAGTTTCTCGTACAGTCTTTGTGTCTAACATTACAGCTCTGCTGAGAAAGTTATTAATTAAAGCAATATTTTTCACCCACTGCCATTAAAGAAACATAATTGCATGTGTCTGTGTATAATAATTTGTCTGTTTGTTAGCAAAATACCTCAAGGACCACTATGAATTTCAATAAAACTATGAAAAAGTAATGATTGGTTGTACATCTTCAACTGATTAACTGGTTTTAAGATGGCTATCACAACTAATCAACCTCATCAAACACAAAAAATAGTTATGGGTGTAATATATATATATATTTTTTTGCTATAGAACCCCACACTGTGTCTGTGACGTGGTTGAAGTTATTCATATTTCATGCCAACACACTGTCATTGTTTTAAAACATTCAGTACATTTAATTCTTTGTAAATTTTATGATGTCCCAGAGCCATTTTGTTGCCAATGATTGTATTTTATTTGACATTGTAGATGAAATGATGATTTGTTTCATATTCTGATACATTTATCTGAATCAATGAGCATTTTTTTTAAATGTGTTCGCATAAACGACTCAATTTTTTTATTTTATTGTGCATGTTGCATATGGGGTGACATGGTGGATCAGCTGGTTGAGCTGTTGCCTCTCAGTGAGAAAGTCGCCAGTTCAAATCCCAGCCTGGGACCTTTCTGGGTGGAGTTTGCATGTTCTCTCCGTGCGTGCGTGGGTTTCCTCCCACAGACCAAGAACATGCATGTTAGCCTGATTGGTAACTAAATTGTCTCTACGTGTGAATGAGAGAGTGAATGGCTGTTTGTCTCATTTGTCCCTGTGATGGACTGGAGACCTGTCCAGGTGTCCCCCGCCTCTCGCACAATGATAGCTGGATATGGACACCAGTGACCCCCGCGACCTGAAAAGGAAGAAGATAATGGATGGATGATGCATGTGTTGCAGTCAAAAGTGTGAGAATCAGTCTTGAGTCGTATTTGATCTCAAATAGTCTGCCTAATAAAAACTTAAAACGATTTCAAGTTTGTTCATGAGGCTTAGGTGGTAGTTACGCATGCACACAAACACTCTTTCATATACATTTTAAATGTTTGGTATAGACACACGCAAGATGTTAGAAAAAATAAAAATAACAACTCCAGGATCATGTGTTTGTGTGTGGAAGGAAAAAGAATGGATGAAAGAAGAAAGCCACTAGCTGCTGTGGAACGATGTTAATAGCCTGTTGGTTTTGCTCTTTTTTCCTCTTTTGCAGCAGCTGTATGCTGCACAGCTGGCAAGCATGCAGATCTCCCCAGGAGCCAAGATGGCAACCCTACCACAGGCTCCTAACTCCTCCGCTCCTCTCTCCCCGTCCAACCTAAAGAGCGAGAAACGAGCAACCAGCCCAGTCACTCAGATTAAGGTAAGAGCACGGCTGCAGGTAGCCAAACGACTGAATGGCAAAAAATTAATTCAACAGCTCAAACTGCAGCTCAGGGAACACGAAGTACAGAATACAGCATAACGAGAAATTATATTTTCCGCAATCGTGGCGTTTAAGAATTTTCTCACTCAAGGCTAAAGCGATATTCACAAAATCTTGTTCTTGTGTGGATGAGGCCTTAGATGTTCAAGCTAAAAGAAGTAGAACGGTAAATAAACGTAAAAGTAGCAGAACAGTTGGTAAAAGATGCAAACGAAGGTAAAGCAAGTTTTCTGAAGCTGACTTGAAATGTTTTTGAAGGAATAAAAAGTTTTCATTGTATTTCTATGGTGAAAATTGTAAAAAAAAAAAATAAACCTATATTTTGAAAAGTAGAAAAGTTACAAAAGTTACAGATCAAAGCACCAGACTCCTGAATGAGTTGAACATTTCATTACACAAATTGTAAAAGTAGCACAAACTCTGCAGACGTAGTTAGATTGCCAAAAAATAAAAAAAAACCTGTAAAACAACAAAACAAAACTGAAAACAATAGTTCAACTGCTGAATCAGCGTTTTCACAGCACCGTCTGCAGTTTGTCCATGCTCTCTGTAAGAACTATATTTTTATTCATGTGTGCACAGTAACAGACACAATCGCAGGGCAAAGGAAAGAATGAAACAGAAAAACACTCAAAGTTAGTGCACGTCTAACTGAGGAGCTGGAAATTTGGAAGATGTTGAAACAGCGATCAGAACACAACTTCATTCTCTTCACCGTCTATTAGTAACGGCTGATTTAAAAGTCTCTCTGTGACACACACGCTGGCGCTGGCTGCTGCTTGGCAGAAGCCCAGACCTCTTCACTGGAGAGAGCGTATGCCTCATCTTTATTTAACGAGCCAGTAACGGGAACCATGTGTGTGTGGGGCACAGCTGCACCCGGCGTCACAATAGACCGGCGTCAGAGCTCACCGCACTCCAACAGTAGTACTGTACTGCACCCCCAAGTGCCCATCCTTCTGCTACACCCCCACCAAACACACACACCACCTCCATCCCCACGACGATTGGCGTCAGAAGCATTTGCAATGTGGGGGGGACACGTTGGTGAGGGTGTCTGGGGGTCCTCCCTCAGAAAATTTTGAAGAAAATAGATGCCACTTTCTGCATTCTGGTGTATTTTAACGGGTTAACATCTAGTTTTCCCTAAACACTTGCTTCAATAACTATTTTAAAGAGTACGGCACTTGATCATTGTGATTTGTTCACAAAGAAATAGAAACTGTGCTGGATGAACTACTAATATTTCATGGAAAACGTAAGGGGTCCAAATACACGTCCCCTTCACATAATTTTGACGCCTATGTCCACAACAAAACTTGTCCTAAACTTCTTCTCTTTCTTAGCACTTTTTTAGCTGGTGCTCAGCTCTAAGGTCCAGGATCTGCAGAAGGTCCCCCCCCCCCCCCCCGGTGTTAGTTTTGCAGCGTGACACGGTGGCTCAGTTGATAGAGCTGCTGCCTCTCAGCGAGAAGGTCCTTGGACTGAATCCTGGCCAGGGTAGCCGTTCTGGGTGGAGTTTGCATGCTCTCTCCGTGCATACGTAGGTTTTCTCCGGGTACTCCGGTTTCCCCACACAGACCAAATGTTAGGCTGATTGGTAACTCTAAATTGTCCCTAGGTGTGAGTGAGAGAGTGAATGGTTGTTTGTCTCGTTTGTCTCTGTGTCCCTGTGATGGACTGGAGATGTCCAGGGTGTCCCCTGCCTCTCACTTACTGACTGCTGGACATGGACACCAGTGACCTCCGTGACTCCAAAACAAAGATGCGGGTAAAGATGATGGATGAATAGTTTTGTATTTATCATGAGGATTTGCATTAATACTCAAATTTACCTAAACATTTAAGAGTCACTCGGACAAATATGCTACTGTTTACACAAGAATATACATTTTTAACAGTTTTTGTTTTAATTTCTTTGGTTGGTGCAGAGTTTCACTGATTGGGTCAACTGTTGGACAAACATTGACAATAAAAATCAACTTAGATTTAATTACTTAAAAAAAAAACTTAGTGACGTTGAACTTTTAACATTATGACCACCTTGTGCTCACTTTAATTTAAGTAAATATCAATAAATTAAATTAGCAATGAGTATATCAGTTAAATTTCCACTGTATTTTTTTATTGTAGATAAAGGTAGACAAATGCTTTGTCAGCAGAGAGCTGTTATTTTTTATTATTATTACTTACTGCTATGAAAGCTGGGCAATTGGGTATGGCAGATGATATGCATTTATTCAAGCAACATTACCTTAATTTACCACACATGCTTCAATAGTTGTGGTTAGAACCTCACTGTGGGGTTGTAAAACACCAACTGGTGGGTGTTGACAGACTCTATAAAAACCTAATTAACATTATTTTAAAAAGTGTGCCAATAGCAAATTTAATCTGCTGTTTCAAAGAAATAAAACTTGTTCTCATAAACAGATAGAAAATAATATAAAGCTTGATGTGATTATTGTTTATATACTTCCTCCAGCGATAGTCAGGGTCACATATCTTTATGTTTATGTTGTAGATCAGAAACTAAAAGGTTTGGGAATTATGAGTCTAGATCAGTGGTTGCAAAAGTTGGGGTCAGAACAGCACTGTGGTTCATGAAACACCAACTGGGTGGTCTTGACATGGTTTTCAGAAATCAAATAGAAATTTACTGCCTTTTTTTTTTTTTTGCCAATTGTTACAGTAGTTATAACTGGGCAAAATCAGTAAAATATTGTTGATGCTGCTTGTGTCACTTTTTATTTGTTTAGCGAGCTTATTAGAGTTATTACAGTAGATTTAATAGACTTTAACCAGTGACTACTGGGGTTGCAAGTTTCTCCAAGTGTCATTTTTCTGGTTCATAAGCTGAAATGTTTGATAACCACTGATGAAAGATTTTTCATTATCATTAGGGTTTTAAAAATAATAAAAGTCACGATTAAGGTTTATAACTGTACTTGTAAATTACAATACAGTTTGTAAACCCTATTTTTTATACAGATGGATCTTTCATACAGTATGCCAAGTGTTTGAAAGTCTTTCCGATATATTGTTGGTTCTTATGTCACCATCACTACGATACAATTGGGAATGGTGGAGCAGAGACTGAAGAAGGTGGGCCTGTGATCGGACAGTCGCTGGTTCAACTCCCCGGACTGGCAACATCACAATGTGGGTGGGAAAGGTGAAACACCAACGCCTGCCTCCACCATCATTTGCCCCACCCTGGGCCCTTGAGCAATGTTCTTAACCCCCACCATCTGCTCCCCCGGGCACCCTAGATGCAGCTCTCTGCTCCACGCAGAGGGCTGTGGTAGCTCGGTGTATGTGGTTGTGTCAGGAATGGTATCTGGTGTAAAAACAATTGCTAAGACTTTGTACGAGTTAGTTCGTGTGGAGACCCCTGAAGAATGGAGCCAAAAAAAAAAAACGAAAAAAAAAAACATTATACAGTTAATAAAAATAAAATATTTTCCCAATCAGAAATATTTGTTGACCTACATACCTCATTTTAAGAGCTTTTAAGAAGTCGGAAGGGTTTCTAAGTATAATTTATTTCGACATCCCATTTAGCTTTGGAAATCCCTGAATAAATATGCTGACATTTAATTCAAGCAGTTAAGGCTTTATAACTTAATTTATAAAATGTAAACAGCTAAGATAAGACAACTCCATCCCGTAAGTCACTCATGAACATCAACCGGAACCCCAGGGTCTCGTACCAGTTGTACATGTCCAGAGCATCTTCCCAAGGAGGCGTCTTTACCAGAGGCCTGAACCACCTCCACTGGCTCCTCTCAGTGTGGAGGAGCAGTGGTTCTACTCCAATACTCTCCCAGATAACTGAATTATCCAAGTCTGAAGGTACTAGAACATTTCTAAATATGTGTTTCAATCACCAAAATTTCAGTTACAACAAGTGCAAAAAAAAACAACACTATAATTTTGTTAAGTAAAAAAAATGAAATGAGGAAGTACTAGAGGTTTATTTGTATTTAGACGTATATTTTTCTGGCATATGAAAAATGAAATTTCATTAAATGGCAAAAAAAAAATCATGTTAAGCTACGATAGACAATCCTTCGGGCTAAACTACAAACTATGACTTGACCTGAGCTGCAGGTTGGTTGTACATGGTCCTATACTGTGATAGCGCCAAAATGGTTGGTTAGCTCATTCGGATGCAAAATCCTCAAGTTTAAGCCAAATGATGTAGTCTTCATTTATTCCTTCTCCGCTTGCTTTAATACAGGCATCTATTTAATTTCTTTTAAAACATTTTGATATCTGCAACATGTCTCCTTTTTAGACAAGATTCAACCCAATTTTAATTTAGTTGAGAGAGAGAAGAGTTTATATTTCATTTAATCCAGACAATGCTTACTTGAGAACCTTGGAAATGTTACTTATTACCATATGTTTTGGACTATAATTCACATCTTATTGCATAAATTAGCAAGTCCTGCGACTTATAGTCCAAAGTGACTTATTTATGTTCTTTTCCCCAATATTTATAACCCAATTTTTGATTGAGATCTGACGATTTCATTCATTCTGACGTGGAAAATATTGAACACTACCATTTTCAGCCACTAGAGGGCCCTCGACCAATATGGCAAGCCAAGTGTCTCATTCATAGGTAAAAGTGGCTATTAATGATACACTTAGCTTGCCATACCAAGCCACCTTTGTCTCGCTCAGGAACTCCTGGAGCTTCATTTTGCCACGCCACCCCGGCGAAATGCAGTTTATTTGACCATTAAAGTCGATTCATTAAGGAAAAGTTAAACAGAGACACACCTTTGCTATAATTCCGAGCAAACAAATAATTGTTTTTAAGTGTTAATCTTGTTAAATTCTTGTTAGCGTCCTCCCGTGCACACTCCCGCAGCTGCCATTTGGCAGCCAATCGATTTATGGCACGTACCGGCCCGTGTTTCCGGGTGGTCAGCGGTGACGCGTAACAAACGTGACGAGTCAGCGGTGACGCATAATAAGTTCAATTTATAAGGTGACGCAACATATTTTTGTTTTTTTCCACTTTATTCGACATTTTTGGACTGATGCGACTTATATGGCGATGCGACTTTTAAGGCGGAAAGTACGGTACTCACAAGCTAATATAAAAGAAACAAACAAACTTGCTTGCTTCCACCCACCTTTAATTGCTTTAGTAGGATCAGTTAAACTGTGGCAGGAAGACAAAGCAGAAAAACATCCATGCAAGCTGAGCAGGTTCTGTCTGGCTGGTCGACTGTGAAGCACCTGCACCACCGTATCATGTCCTGAAATCAAAACAAAATAACCTCCAAAACAAGACTGCAGATTTGCATGAAAGCAATGAGCTCTGTTTAGATCAGTTAACTGGTGCGTCTCAGATTCCACACTTTTCTGTCACTTTTCCAAGCTTCTCTTTTGTTTACATTTGTCTTAAAGTCTTATGACATATTTGATTATTTCCAGAATTTACATGGTAGTTTATTTTATGACACTTTAATAAACAAATACACAAAAACACATTTATGCATTAAACTGTTTCTGTCTAACAGGAAGAAGTATCCACACAGCCATTGAACCTCTCAGCCAGACCTAAGACAGCTGAGCCTCTTCGCTCCCCGACGTCTCCGACGCAGAGTCTGTTCTCTGGAAGCAAGACCAGCCCTCCCAGCATGGGCAAGGGGCGTATCCCCAGCCCCAGCCCCAACATGGGAAGAAACACATCTCTAGGTAGGTGAAATGATTCACTGATTTACTGTTCACCAGTATAGTAGCTCTATCAAGAAATCAATGTGTTAGCCATACCCACCTTTGTGGTGTCCACATGAGTAGTTTGTTCTTGTCACTGCTAACTGAAGCCTGAGCTAATATTGTAAATGCAAGATCAGCAACATCAGTTTACAGCAGCATTGACTCCACAAGTCTAACAGGGGCCATGATGGGATAGAGGTAGAGCAGCCGACTTGGTACCAGAAAGTCGTGGTTCGACTCCCCGCCATTCCCGCATGTCATGGTGTCCCTGAGCAAGACACCCAATCCCCAATTTCCCATCGGGCACCTACATAGCTGCCCATCGCCCCACCTGGGTGCATCCCACACGTGAAGGGTTAAACGCAGAGAACTAATGTCAGCATTGTATGGGAACATACAATGATGACAACACATAGCACTTTACTTTCTTTGCTTAGATCCCTCTCACGCTGGATAATGATCCCCCCACACTCTCTGTAACCTACATAACATTTTATAGCGTGGCTGAATTGCTGTACATTTGGAAAATTGTCGTGAGTGTGAAGCGAATCGTGAGAAGGCTTTCCTCTTAGTAATGGAGGGATTTTTATCTGCTAACTTTTGTGTCCCTGAGATGCTATCCTGTGCCCTCAATATGCCAAATGCTTCAGCAACATATTCTCATGCACCACACCATGGGCCCTGCCCTGACTTGACTTTCTCAGACCATGGCAAGGTGCAGCTAACTACTATTGCTTGAGCATTACTCGTTAAATGTGTTCCCAACTTCTCTCATTGTTGGGAACTGAAGTCAGTGGGTCCTACTTTATGGGAACTGCCATATTGTTTTTGGAACCAGAGTCTGTACACTGGGATGTGTGCCTACTCCCCATCACACAATCATGGTGTTACATGACCGTTTTTTTGGGCATGCTAACTAATACAACATACTAACTAATTACAATATTATATTAGGAAAATGACTGAAGTGTGATTTTATTTTATTGGCAATGTCTTGGCTTGTTTGTGTGGAGGTCAGGACTTAAAATTTGAACTGGGATCATCATGAGGTGATGCTGAACCTCATCAGGCTTCAACAGCCAGGATCTTGTACAGTGTCCATCTGTAATAAATGTGCACTGCACTAGGCTGTTTCCATGACCATGTCATGATCAAGGTCATGTAGGCTTGAGGCCAGCATGGTCCTACTTCAGACAATGACCAAGCACAGATGCTACTTCAGAAATTCTCTAGCACTGCTGCCACCGTACTCTACCACACTTCACCCACCTGCTGCTGCCATGGTGATAAACCATGTGAACCTATTGCACTTTATCAAACGATGGAGAGCCCACTGCATTCAAATGGTACTAAAGACTTCACCAAGAACCTGGCGATCATCCGCATTCTGGCTAATTATTTACATCATAGCGAGGTTGTCATCCAGTAAGAAGGGCGTCTTCATCATAACATCAGGACTGACTTTACTGATATTTTTATGAGAAACATTTGCCTGAGTTCGGTTTCTGAAGGTCCAAAAGGAAAAGTCTCAAGGGAGAACTGGCGCTTGTTCCCAAACAAACACTCCACTTTTCCCCACCACTGCATTCCTCACATCAGGACTGTAACGTCCACCCATGACTAATGCGTCCCCACTTCTGCATAAAATTGTGTCCTCCTCTTTTAGCGGAAAAACAAAAAAAACACATCATGCACCCAAACACCTACACCCCCCCCCCCCCCCCCCCCCCCCGCCACCCACAGACAAACAGCAGTGTCACATGAAAGCCTGCAGACACCTCAACCCCACAAGGATATCTGAGTGTTTGTGTTTTACAGGAGTCCTAAGCCCTGTATTTAGACCCAATGAAAACCCCAGCAGCGGAAGCAGTGAAACCCAGCACACGTTATTTGGTTTTTAAGAGCTTCCTCACATTATTGTCTGCCCGCGTTAGACCTTTTATGCTCCTACCTCTGCTATCTGTTATTAAGGCCAATCTAAAGCCTCTCATTATATACCCCCTAGAAAACAATTTCACCAGCTCCTCTGGAGTGGCTTTGAGGACGCGACGCTTGTCTTCTCTAAGTTATTTTTTGCCCATTTTAATGGCCACCCAAGCGTACAGTGCTTCCTACTTGTCTGCTAATTAAACGAGGAGGGCAACGGAAACTTTGCATCCTTTTATTTCTTTCTCCTTTTTAATTCTTCAAATGTGCACCGGGCTTCAAAAGTGTGAAGCAAAACATGTAAACAAGGGGGAGGAGGTCCTGTTGTGTTTCGACACAAGTGAACTGGAAAACAACATGTGGGCATGATATGAGACTGGAAAACCTGTTTTATTACAATTCTGTTTAATGGGGCATTTGTATGCAGCGATTTAAAACAGTTAGTGTTCAGCACTTTGTTCACTTACTAACTGGGCTTTTAAAAGCAGAGCAGTTTGCGCAACAACAGCTGACTCATAATGTATCTAGTTTGCTAAAACTACTTGAAATACATAAAAAAGCAAAACCCAATAAAGAGGACAATACACATTTTTTGTTTGAAAGAATTGCAAGTGGATAACAATTTACTTTAAATCCTTAAATATTTTCATCCTTCAGTGCTAAAAAGCATGCGCTAATGTTTTTGCCAGTTCATGCTGTAAATGTGTCTCTTAAAAAGTAAAATAACTCACGAGCCACTGCACAGATTTAATTCAAACACTCAGAAAATAATCACTGGACGTGCATCAACAACTGAATGACCTTTAGAGTCAAACTGGTTCAAGATGGCTGTCACATCCAGCCGATTATATCAAATGCAAACATGGCTATAATTCTATCAGTTATGCAGGTATTGTACTGGGGGAGTGGTGGCGCAGAGGTTAGAGGAAAGTGGGCCTGTGATCGGAAGGTTGCCGGTTCAACTCCCTGGACCGACAACATCAAAATGTGGGTGGGAAAGGTGAAACACCCTCATTTGCCCACTCTGAGCCCTTGAGCAAGGCTCTTAACCCCCATCATCTGCTCCCTTGGGCACCCTAGATAGCAGCTCTCTGCTCCACACAAAGGGCTGTGGTAGCTCGGTGGTCTATGGTCGCATCAGGAAGGACATCTGGCGTAAAACAATTTGTGCAAGTTGGTTTGACCCTTGAAGAATGCAGCATCTGAAAATATATATATATTATATAATTTAAAATACAGGTATTTTACTAAAATGTGTTGTCATTGTATGGAGAGTCATCCCTATTTTTTATTCAAACTCTCAGAAAGTAACTTTTGGATGCAAATCTAGAAGGGATTATCTTTTGGAGCTGCTGAGATAGACTTCATCCCTTCAGGATCATTATCAGTAAAAACATAAAAAAAAAAAAAAACAATAAATGTCTCTGGTAAACCATTTAAGATCTGCGCTATAAGCCCTTTCTACTAATTTGTCCTCTGCAGACATCTTGGCCAACCTTAACTCCACGGCATTGTTTGGGGACCAAGACGCGGTGATGAAAGCCATCCAAGAGGCCAGAAGCATGAGGGAGCAGTTCCACCGGGAGCAGCTCCACCATCAGCAGCAGCCGGGACACCAGAGTCTGGAGGCCAAACTGACGGCACTCAGCAGCATGAGCCTCAACAACAGCAACAAGGTAAGAAGCCGTTCGTGCATAGATGATTAAGAAGATTTTCACACTTAAAATCTGAATCAGATTGTGTCAGTGCAATCTTATAAAGCAATTATCTTACACAAAATCATATTGTCTTTATGTAAAGTGGCTTTTTTTTTTTTAAAGGCACTAAACCAGAACAATAAATATTATAATTTTACTTTGCAGCATTACTCGTAAAGATCTACAAAATAAAACATGATGGAGGGATGCAGGCTGTTTAACCCCAGCTTTTCACGAGTACACTTCTCTGAGATGATTAGGGTAGTTTACTTGACAAGTTCTTTAGCCACAAACAGCTTTGTTAAAAATGATGTTGGTTTGCTTGTAGCTATAATGTTGCCGTCAGACGCTCCGCACTGGAGCAGTTTGTTAGCAGTGTTGTCTTGCAGCCAGAAGGTCGCGTATTTGACACTTTTTTTGGTGGAAATAGGATCTTTCCCATGTACATGCTTTTTATTTTCACGGCACTCTGTCTTTGTCCCATAGATCAAAAATATGTACTGTACATTAAGTGGCATTTTTTAACTGATTTTAGATGAGAGTATGCATGGTTGTTTCTTGTAATGTGGAACAATGATAAACTGGAGGCCTGTCCAGGGCATACTATGAGCTTCCTGAGATGATGACTAGGAAGCAGGGGCGATTCTAGAATCTGCCCTTGAGGGGCGCTTAGCCCCCAGTGCTGACAACGGCTCTTGTCTTGAACAACATGGTTGTCATTAGCATCAGAAGCATTCTTAATGTGGGGGGACACACTGGTTTGTGTGTGTGTGTGTGTGTGTGTGTGGGGGGGGGGGGGTCCTCCCCCAGAAAATAAAAAAAAAAGTAGATGTCATTTTCTGCATTCTGGTGTATTTTAACAGGTTGTTAAACCTCTGCGTTTACCTACATAAGTACTTGATTCAGTAACTATTGTAGAGAGCTCGGCACAACAAGAAGTAGCGCTAAGCTAGCGTTGTGCAATACAGACGCGCTAGCTAAGATGCTACAGATGTAGCGCTCCACTTTACATTACATGGCCTAATAAACGCTTTGTACAAAATCATTTTAGTGTTAACTGATCATAACAAAGACTAAACTATGCAACTAGAAGTTGCAACGTATACACACAAAATAAAGCACAACTAGCTTTAAGCATTAACCTTTAATTTAACGATTAAGCATACAATGTAATTATGACAGAAAATGGAGGATTTACCTGCAGTTACCTTCGTACAGGTGGACATGTGGTACTTCCTGTTTATCACTGTTGTATTGAGCTGCTCATGAGGTCGGCCGCAGGATTTTTATCATCTTTTACATTTTTCCAGACTCAGTTTAGGTTTTGGAAATGGAATTAACTTTATTCCACCCTCTAAAGCAGGGCTGTTCAATTAAACTGCTCGGGGGGGGGGCACAGTTATTGAACGCCAGCAGCTCAGGGGCCGGACATCCCGCAATCAAAGACATTATGTAAATAAACTAATTATTACAATGATCTGTCACCTTTTAAAATTGTTTATTTTTTGCATTGAATAATAAATGCAATAAACAGAACCCAAACTAGAACCGCCAAAAAAAAAAAATCTTTATTTTTCAGGGGTGCGGAGTTAAAATTTAGGGGTGCTTGAGCACCCCCAAAAAGACGCTAAAATCGTCACTGCCAGGAATTATAGAAAATGGATGGATGAAGCAATAGTAGGACAAATGGTTGGGAAATGGTGTGTTTCTGAAAAGAAAAGGTGAGCTGGACTCACTCTTGCGACCCTGAATGCAGCACCCTTGTAAGCCGGTGTGTCCACCTGAGGTGTTTGTTTCCAATGAAAACTAACTGAAGGTTAAAATAACATTCCAACTTATATGAAATTGTGTTGCAAGTTTACTAATAAGTACTGATCCTCTAATCCTTTATCAAACTGTACACTCAAACAAACAGCGACACGTATCCTCGTTCTGCCGTCACATTTTTCTCCACCGTTCCTTTGGCCGAGTGGCCACGGTTTCTCTTCGCATAGCGACGGAGAAGTCGGACGAATATTTATGGGAGCCCTCGATGTGTTTTGCCGTGAGGTTCAGTTCTTAAAAACTTCTCTTTTCGGCTCTCATCTCCGCGGCCACCCAGAAGCCAACAGCTTTGAAGAGGGAGCAGCTGGGCCAATGACAAGTGATGGTTTTGGCGTGTTACTGTGTGTTTGTGCGCTTGCCTCGACTATGCTCTGCCTTTTTTTTTTTTTTTTTTTACATCAGGGATGATGTTATCATTAGTTGGTGTGTGTTTGTGAGTGTGTTCATTTAATGAAGTTCAACTTTTTTGGTCTGAGAGGGCGCTTAAATTTAGTCAAAATGTGTCCTTTTTCATGCACTCTGCCCCCTTGAGCTGACAAAGATCCTTTGTACCATCCGGGGAAATCCAAATTCCAAAACATCTTCAGTGAATCTGATGAGCTAATCGTAGAGTTTAGGGATCAGATATTTGTTTTTATTTTTTTTTTTTAAAGGAAATCTGATCAAGCTGTCCCTCCTGAGCAACTCATCCCATGTTGCTTGCAAAGATAAGAAAAATGGGGAAACTCATAAATATTTTAGGGGTGGAGACTTTGAACCCCCACAAGTAGGTCATGAATGGTGCACTCCAAGGATAAGCTGTTTTGAATCTTCTAGACTTGTTTGCCTTGCATCTTTAGGAAGAAAACATCCAAAGTCTGGCAAAATATAAAGCAGCTGAACATTTTTCCTTTGGTCCCAAGTGATTTTTTTTTTTTATATTAGTCATTATATTGGTAAACACTGACAAACTTATACATTTAAATCATATCATAGTTTATGCTAACTTATTCATAAAAGTTTAGTGTGTCGGCTGCAGGTCCAGTTAAAGAAATTTCTGATGATGTTTGAAATTTTTGTTTTTTCGCCTAAAGTCCAACAGAAAATGGCACATTAAAGTGTCTTACAGTAAGATCAAATGCCGTTGATCAAAAACAAAGTGTTAACGTTTTTGTTGATTTAAAAATGGCCTTCGACACTATTAACCGCATCATTCTCCTTGAAAAACTGAATAAATATTGCATTAGAGGATTAGCACTACAGTGGGTATCCAGTTATTTGAATAATAGGAGACAGTTTGTACAGGTAAACGATGTAAGGTCTGAATTTTGTGTTAACTGATGTGGAGTTCCGCAGGGCTCTGTATTGGGACAAAAGTTTTTTTTTGTTTTTTTTTAATGTGAATGACCTGGTTGATGTGTCAGGGTTTTGAAGTGTGTTTTACTTGCAGATGATGCTACTTTTTTTTTTTTGTTTGGTTGAAGATATTGAACAAATGTTAGAGATTATATGGGCAGAATTTGTAAAAATACAAACTTGGTTCCAACTTAATAAGTTATCATTAAATTTGGAAAAAGCAAACTACATGATATTTAGTAATAGAAAGAAAATTATCCAAGTTTAAAACTGACAGTATTGAAATTCACAGAGTTAATGAATTAAAATTTTTGGGTGTTGTTATTGATGATAAGCCGACATGGAAATCGCATGTAAATTACTCAAGAATAAAAATAGCTAAATCAATTGCATTACTGTATAAAGTAAAAGAGTTTTTGAATGACAAAGCTTTTAATATATTGTATAATGTAACGATTGTTCCATATTTAATCTATTGTATTGAAGTTTGGGGAAAAGCATGCAAAATAATTACAAACCCTATTTTCATTTTACAAAAAATAGCTTTAAGAATTATTTCTAGGAAGTGCTATGGTCACCCATCAAATATATTATTTCATCATTTGAAATTATAAAAAAAAATCATGATTTGATTGAATATAGTATTTTGCAAGTCATGTATAAAGCTCATAAAAAATATTATATATCCCCAAATATTCAATTAAAATTTGTTAAAAAAAAAAGAGTCATTATAACCTTAAGGGAATGAAAATGTTTGTAAAACCTCCATTTAGAACTGGTGTGAAGGAGCTGTGTTGTAATTCCCCAATACAATTGTGGAATTGTCTTGATATCACCATAAAATTTTCTAAAACATTTGATGTGTTTAAAAAGATGATTAAGTTAAAATCGTTGGGAAAGTATGGCGACAAGCGAAGGATTCCTGATATTTTTGTTTTCACTTTGGAGATTGTTCAATCCTAAGTTGTTGTTTGTTTGTCGTTTTTTATTATTGTTTTTTTTTTTTAAATAAGGGGCAGATATAAGAATTTTCTTCTTCCTTCTGCACCCTTTTCATTCAATGTTTTTTTTAATAGATTTGTTTTGTTTCTTTTAATCAAATAAATAAATAAATAAAGATCCCAGTTTCCAAACGTTCCACTTTCCAGCTTCAAACCGACGTGATGCAGGAGCTCGGTTTATAGCTGCGTATAATAAAAAGCTCATTTGGAAAGTCTCGACGTAATTGTTTCCGGTTCAAGGATGACAGCGGTTCTTGGTGTTTGTTGCCCGTTTGTTTTTCGTTACCTAACAACAGCCGTTCAAAGACATTTTCTACAATGCCTCTTTTTTTTTTTTTTTTTTTTTGCATTGAAATGAAAAGATTTTTGAGGATTGTGTGTGTTTTTTTTTTTCCCATTTTCTTTTTTTCTTCATTTTGTAAAGTACTCAGAGGCTTCGCTCTGTCTTAAACAATTCATGGATGGAACTTGCTGGAGTCTGGGAGTGTGACTCACACGTTCCACCTCGGCAGGCAAACGAGAGCAGCACTTTCTCTTTACCTTGGATTGTGCGCCGTTTTCCTGTTCGTCCACTGAATTTCCCTCTCGGTTTCTTCCCTTTTTGATATTTCAAGTCTCCACCCAGTTCTTTTTGTTTTATGGCATTGTACTGAGGCAGCACATTCAGCTTCTTCAAGTCTGTAAATTATATCTCAGCGCGCTGCGTTGTTAAATGTTGAGCTATTTATGACTCGAGCTGATTTGACTTAAAGGGAGTCGCTGTGACGTCTCTCTGTGTGTGTGTGTTGCTGTTTATTTTGCTGTATGTGTATTTTTATC